TTAACATATACTGTATTATTCGTTTCAGGGATAGAATTTAGTGGTTCATCAGTTGCATATCACACCCTGTGCTCATTACATCAACTGCCCCACTTAATTCCCAACACCCAATCACCCTTTCACCTCACCCTCCTCCCCTCCAGCAACCCTCAGTTTGTTTCCTTGAGTTCAGCATCTCTTATGGTTTGCCTCCCTCTCTATTTTCATCTTATTTTTTTTCCTTCCCTTCCCCTATGTTCATCTGTTTTGTTTTTTAAATTCCACATATGAGTGAAATCATATGGTATTTGTCTTTCTAAGACTGACTTATTTCACTTAGCATAATACCCTCTACTTCCATCCATGTCATTGCAAATGGCAAGATTTCATTCTTTTTGATGGCTGAGTAATATCCCACTGTGTGTGTGTGTGTCTGTGTGTGTGTGTGTGTGTGTGTATCTCACATATTTTTTATCCATTCATTTGTCAGTGGACATCTGGGCTCTTTCCATATTTTGGCTACTGTGAACAGGGCTGCTATAAACATTGGGGTGCATGTGCCCCTTTAAATCACTATGTTTGTATCCTTTGGATAAATACCTACTAGTGCAATTGCTGGGTCATAAGGTAGTTCTATTTTTAACTTTTTTGAGGAATCTCTATACTATTTTCCAGAGTGGCTGCACCAGTTTGCATTCCCACCAACAGTATAAGAGGGTTCCCCTTTCTCCACATTCTCACCAACAAGTGTTGTTTCCTGAGTTGTTAATTGAGTAGTTTACTGGTGATGAAATAAGTGCTGTGATTGGTGCTAAAGACCAGAAGTTATCAATGAAGCCATTGAAAGTGGCAACTGTGTTTTACCATGTTCCTCTATCTCCTATATTTCCAGTTAGAATGAAAGACTTGATTAAATTCCAGTTACATTTGTGGAGGGAGGTACACTTCATAAGTGGTACTATGTACTTCCATCAAGGGGCATATATTATTTGTTGTGTCTCTGTTTGTAATGCTAGTAGTCACTGATAACCATTGCCTAGATCAATTAATTTATCAAAATTTACAACATAGTGGCATTCCAATTTTTTCATACCTTATTCATTTATTAGCTGGAATATTCCTATGAAGTGAAACTTCTCATCTACTATTTTGTTATCCTAAGGTACAGGTCATAAAAGAAGGAAAAAAATAAATGCTTGATTCTTTATTTCCTAGTTGTCAAAGTAACTAATTGATTCCTTAGCATCATCTAATTGTAATCAATGAATTATTGTTGTTCTTGTTTAATATCAGTATGAACATATGGATTTAAACATATTTGATGTATGTCCATCCAGCACATTCAGTAGTCTTGTTGATGCTTAAATTGTTTTGTCTTTGAACTGGGAGCCTTTTCCAGCTGACTTGATTCCTTTTAAGATGACCTTAGTAGTCTTTGACAGCATATTTGCTAACTGGTATGAGTTCACAGACCCATACCTTTTTCGCTCAAAGGCGAAAAGGGTTGGGGGGAGGATAGCATAGTCAAAACCAAAGACATGTAAAATGGTATGATAAATTTGGACAAACACAAATTATTTAGTAGATCTAGGGAATTTGGGGTGAAGGAGAAGAGGCAGCTATTTAGAGATGTCTGAGAAGCAAAGAGGATAGAGAATCTTGCAGTGTACATTATGAGATTTTTACAGGCCAATAGTAATCAACAAAAGCAAGGTAGTTTGACATAGAGACCCACAAATACCTCAGGTATTTGTAAAGTATGCAGCAATTCCTTACTAATAAAAACTACAGGACCACATTTAAAAAATTATTTCCTCTAAAAATCAGAGTATAGGGATTCAGATTTAGAACTATGCTTGGTATAATGCAATATAGTTAAAGTCACTTATAATCATTTGCATCTTAATATGCTTTCTGGAGTTGAGTGACATCTAGTGTGGCAGGCACACCTGTGGGAGTGTAGTATGTGTGATAATCCTCACTCGTGAGTGTTCTGGTGAACTGACAATGGACCACAGGTGGTGCTGGTGATAGGGAGCCATTGAAACAATATAAGCAGAGGGTAATACCAATATTCCTTCATTGTTTCCTAACCAGAATCACAGAGTCTAAGTGATTTCAGTCACAAATCAGTGTTTAATTTGTGTGAATATTAGGTTTTCTAGGGAAAAAAAAAGTTCTAGCTTAATTAAATTACTTCATTTTCCTCTATTTTTCTTTTACCCTTACTAGAAAAGAACCACTTACTGGTTGATCAATGTTTTCCTCTTTAATCACAGAGGATGTACAAATACCAGCATAATTTGCTGCTGTGATCTCCTTATCCAATGCAGTGCTATGAAAGGCCAAAAAAGCTTTGGTATTTTCCACATAATTCCACTTTTGATTGGACGTCCCATTGTTATATGGTTTATATTTCTGAAAAAAAGGATAAAATATGGAGTCAAACTGATAGGAGAGTTTATGATTTGATTATAGCTGTCACAGTTTCATTGCATAAATACAGAAAGTATAGATAATTACTCATAATTCTACTATGCAGTGATAACTTATTTATATTTGATGATTATATATGCAACGTTTTTTATATTTATAAATATGCATCCTTTGATTTACAAAAATGAAATCACAAAATGCATATAATTTGGGAACTGCATTAGTTTTTTTAACAAGAATATTCCACGAACCTTTTCTTAACATTTTTAATCTTGATCTTAGGGATGTTTTATTTTACCAATCCCCAATACGTAAACACATAGATTGTTTCTCAAATTTTCCTTATTATAAGCAAAAAAGCAATGAATAATCATATAAATAAATTTTCATATAAATCCATGAAAAATTCTTTAAAACAAACTCCTCAAGTACAATTGCTGATAAAATAACATGATCATTTTTAAATATTATGAGACATCATATTAAGCTTTATCATATCAAAATGCTTTCTAGAAAGGTTATTCTAGTTTATACTTACACCAGTAGAATATGATATGGCTTGTTTTCCTCACATTCTTGCCCAAATATCAATTTAATAAATGAAAAATAGTGTCTTGTTACTATTTTAATTTATGTTTCCCTGGTTATCGAGGTTTTTTTTTTTCAAATATGAGTACAGGCAGTTTTATATGTAACAGAAACAGCACATTTATTCTAATTATAAAACTTGGCTCAAGCATAAGTAAAGAAATGAGTAGTTTCAATTTTAGAGAATTTAAACCAGCAGATTAGTTCCAACTAAACATATCATGACACCTCAAGGAACTTTATAATGAATAGCACTTACTTTACCAGGGAGAGATTGATAGTAAAGAGGAAAATAAATGGGTCTTAAGAATTGATTTAATAGGTCAGACAATAGAGCATCCCTCAGAGGCATGGAAAACAAAGACTGTATTTCAAGGAACAGAGAGTGGGGGGTCTAGTAACATTAACCTAACATGCCTCATTTTTATTATTTTACATGAAATTTAATATTTTCTCACAAACTGATTGTTTTAAGAAATAAAAATGAAACATCAGCAGAGAAAAAAATCTTGAAAGCTAATACAAATTACCTTGAGATAAAACTCATTTCTTAAAAATGGGAACCTTAGGGGAAAATGTCAATATCTATAATTTTATGAAACTGATTAAGGTACAAAATTTGCATCTGCATGAGGTTTTAATCTCACTGTGGCCCATGCAAAAGAGGCACCTGACAGGGAAGAATGTGATGTTATATATACGATGTCTCTTAGAATAAATTTTTGTCCATAGTTATCAGCAGGATAGAAGACTTAATTAAGCTTTGATATTTGTCCAGATTGCTATATCCCAATTATGGATTCAGGACCTGCAAAACAAGCTGCCTCGTTGCTATTAAAAACATGGAATAAAACAAATGTACTTTGGAGATAATATATTCTGTTCAGCAAAAAGATGGTAAATACTATGGAGGATATAGAAAATAAATTCAGAGCAGGGGTGCTCCTAAACTTTCTTTCCTCCTAACAAGGAAAAACACATAGCCATTGAGGAGTGCCTTTGGTTACAAGTAAGGATGACAGATAAACATGAAAAAAGAACTCCATAGATCTTTACCCAAAACTCAAATGAACCCAGATTTCTCTGGAGTCTCCAAAACCTGTTTGGCTGCTACAAGCATTTGCTAAAGTATGTTAAGTGTATTTCAAATGAGTATCTTCGTAGAATTAACATTGATGAGTTGACTTCCTTCAGGAAGACCTCTTTGATCATGCTCTTTCCCTCCAGTTGCCAGGTAAGAGGGGGCTTGCATATGTCCCGATCACTGAGCTTAAAACACGTGCCTCTAACAGCTATTCACTTGACCATACCCACCACTGAGACTATATGAATGTTACTGGGATAATTTTTCATGCTTGCCCTTGGATTTGATTTAAGTAACTAGCATAACTCCTGACATGCAGCAAGCCCACAATCACCATCTGTTGGATTAAACTAAATTAAGAGCTACATGAACATGTTGAATTTGAAATCTAGGCAGACTATTGTAAATATTTTAACAATGGCATTCAAAATAGGTTTCTATGACAGCCATTATCTTTCTGCACAACAAGGAAGCATAGAGCTTTACTTAACTTTAAATAAAGGGCCATGATTACTACTTAGCCTATATATATATATATATATATATATTTATATATCTTACCTGAACAATAACTGGATAGCCACAGGCTTCATTTCTTGTTTTGGTCATAGACACTGCCAGCACAAGGTCTGGGTTGCTCACCAGGTGAAAGGTCCTTTGGGAAAACAGGAGTAGGCTTGTTATTAAGTAGCATAAACAGATCAGAGCTCCCTCTGTGCCACTCACCAGAGTGCTGCCTCTGAGCTCCATGCATGCTCTGTGATAATGGATAGGCATCCTTCAAGCATTTCTCCCCCACAGAAGCACAACGTTAAGCTTTCTCAGTAGAGAGTGCTGGAGGAACACTGCAGGAGGAAGGGGCTCCCTTGCGCTTCCCGGCAGCTGCCTAGGGTCAGCAGCTGGGAGTGAGGCTATCCCCTGATGCTCTGCCCTAACCAGGTGCCCAGGATGTGTGGCCTCTGGGAAGCTTCACAGTCCTGGCCTGTAATCATTTGCTCGTGGCCCTCCTGACATGGACATCACATGCTCTAAACCTTCTGCCTCCCCAGCACCACCATTCCCTTTTCATGCCCATGTGCCCCCAAACCAGCCGCACTCCCACATATTTTCCAGAGGGCTACTTCCTGCTTGCATACCAACCACAGACCAGGTCTGGCCAGGCAAACCAACAGAGTTTTGCCCTCCAATTAGCTGTAGCCATACTTTTCCTAATGAGTTCTGAACTCCCACCTTGGGAAAGGGCCCAATTTCATGTTTGTCCTCAATTCCCTCAGCCCCAGAGCACCATACAGAGGATTTTTTTTAAAAAAAAATCTGATAGTTACTCTTCTATTATTGTTTAATAATTCTTCATGTTACACAGCCCCTTTAAATCACTGTGTGGTTTCTGTCTCCAAACTGAACCCAGACTGATACACCCTCCTCACCTCCCGCTATTTATTATGAGAGGCACAGTGGCAGAATGATTAAGAACATGGATTCTGGAGCCACAGTGTTGAAGTCTGAATCCTGAATCTACTTCTTAGTAGCTATATGGCTTTGCTTACCAACCCTACACCTCCGTTTCCTCATCTGTAAAATAGGATAATGGTGCATGCCTCAAAGGACTCGTGGGAATGAAATGAATTAATGCACAGAAAATGCATAGATTATTGCCTGGCACACGTCACTTAGAATGAGCTACTATTACTAATGGCTGTGATTTTTTATAGCTTTTCCTCCAATTCTCTTTTTCTAAACGGGTATTCCCTAAAAGTCCAAGACATACGTTGAATATTGTTAAGTTGTCTTATATAGAAACTCACATAAAGCCTCTTTGACTGAAAGAAGGAAAGAAAATTATTGAGCTAAAACCCTCAAATTCTTGCATCACTTAAAAGCAAAATAAGCCAAACATTCAAGGAACTTGTCTGTATAGAAAAAGCCAATTCTTTATGTCTGTCAACATAGTTACATTACACACCAGCAGTGGCATTCCTGCTGTGGAAAATATAACTCGTCCTATAAAATTTAATGATGTGGGAGTGGAGGGGAGAGGAGAAGGTGAGAAAGGGTCTGTTATAAAAGTAATATATTTCTCCTTTCAAGACTTAAAAAATTCCAGATATCTAATTTAAACTTCTGTGCTATAAATAAACATAAAACAATATAACCTCACTGTAAAGGATTTACAAAGAACTGGAAAATAGGGTAAAAATTATAACAGAATTTTAGACATTACTCATATTACTACAAGATAATCACTATTAATCTTGCAATGTATTTCTCCCTTCTATTGTTAATTAATGATGTATCATTTTAAATTAAAAAAATGGGTATTGGATCTCATCAAATACGTTTTTAGCATTTATCAAAACTGGGCACTGCACGAGAGCTGGTATTCTCTATTATTCACCTGTGTAACCTTGCCATTTGCATAGTTTGGGTATTGCATTTTTGTTGACACTCAATATTATTCATATGAATGAATGATCGTACATCTCCTGTGATGACCTACTGAGATGCCAAGATCAGTTACCTACCTATCTGTTTCTGCTGCTTAGAAGAGCTGTAGCAACTTCTCCCATGTTTCAGTGCCCTGCTCAGCCATAACAGTGTTGGTTTTCCTTTTTGTTTTTGAACAGTACAGTGAATTGGCACTTGGCCTTAGCAGGAGTGCCTATATTTTGCAGGAAGCTTGAATTTATGGACCTGTACATAAAACCCACTATGTGCCAAATGGCAGTGTGAGACCTTAATCTGTGTCCCAGGAATATCTAGCACGATACCACAGCCCCTTCCACAAACCCAGGGAATGAGTGCTTGCAAGTCAATCTCCCGCTCCTCAGTGTACCTAGCTCTGAAATCAAGTGATTAAGATGAGGAAATGTTAAAAGATCTCTTGTAGCTCCAGATTCCATGACACTGTATTTCCCCCTGTATAATTCTGGGTCCAGTTGAGGGGATTTTCATCCCCGAGCATTGTTTTCATATTTCCCTTTAGAAGCCAGACGATTAATTCAGATTTTGCCAGAGTTGAAAATGGGAGAAAGATGCCAGGCTATCTCAAAAGTTGACCTGGACCATTCTTCTGTGTGGCTGGAAACCAAGTGAGAGTATCTCTGGCAATTTCCAACTTGGGTTCGAGGAGGACCTCCACTATAATACAGTAAGCTAAAGCAGTAAGATGTGTTGCTAAATTCCAGAAATGTAGAGCCGGGTAGCATTAGCTCTGCAGGGGCAGGGATTTTCATGTTTTATTCTCAGCTAAAGCACCAGTACCTAAAACACCGCCCTTAATTACCCTTTGCAGCAGAATGAATGAATTCTGGTCCCATATAGCAAATCATTCACAGGGACAAAAACCTGCTTCTTAGCTCCCTGTCATAAAGTTAGCTTAGCTAGGATGAATGGGGCAAAGGAATACACTCACAAGTCTATCTACAGGTGGGCTTTTCAGCCTTCTCGAAAACAAGCCCAGTAAGTGTTCCTTGCTGGCGCTTGGCTCATCTCAGACAGTGAACAGTAAGACTAGCTTCCTTGCTGCCCATGCTGGGCTACTGCTGCCACCCACTAAAGCTTACACAGTCTCTGTCAAAGCAGCAATTCCCGAACCTTTCAAAACACACACCTTTTGAGAATCCCAATGAAAAACCACAGCTCTTTCCCAGGAAAAAAAAAAAATGTATCACACAGATGTCAAGAGATTGAAGAGGCCCCTGGAGCCCCACCATACAAGACTAAGGGTAGAATTTGAAGCAAACCAATCTAAAAACCAAGGAGTTGTTTTCTTTCTGGTTAAAGACATGATCATATATGAACAAAAACAGAGAGAGAAGTCTAAAAAGCCACCACGATTCAACAGCTACCAACATTCTACCATTCTTGTTTCATCCCCCCCAACTTTTTACATTTTTGCTTTTGCTAGAATATTTTAATGCAAATCTGACCTACCTCTTAATTTTATCTGTATGTACTACAATATATATCTCAGTGATCAGGACTTTTCTTTTTTTTTAATACAGCCATTAAACTATTAGGACACATCAAAATTAATTAGGACTTGCTTTGCATCATCTGGTACCCAGACTTTTAAATTTCCTCCAGTTGTGTTAGAAATAACCTTTAACAGTAGTTGGCTTGAATCTGGATCCAAACAAGGGCCAGGATTGGATTGATATATTTGTTAAGGTAAGAATTCATTTTCACTGTGTAAGCAGAAGCCATATCAGTTGGTTATTTGATGGAAATAGGGGATGGTAGAAAGGCATGAATGTGGGGAGGGGCAGGAGGCTGAGTTAATGAAAAGTACTGCAAACTTTTTTACGTTCTTTCTTGATCCTTTCAAATCATAAAAATTAGAATTAGATGGCAGCCCAGTTTTCTAACTTCCATAGCCAGTTAAAACTATGAACCCAGTAGGTCAGATTTCATATTTCCTATCTGAATTGACACTGGATAAGTTGTGTATAGACTACTGAGCATTTACATTTGATTTCACTCTCTTTCTCTTCTTTGAGTAGGATAAAAAATTATTGGCTACCTTAAATAGAAAATCGAAAGTCCTCACGTATGCCCCTGCCTGCTCTGTGGGGACCATACCAGATTTCTTAGGCTGCCATTGATATATTTTGATAGATTAACACCCAATATAATGGGTTTACCTGCTGCCTTCCTTGTGCATCCACCGTTGATGACTACCATCCATTTTTTTCTCCACCAAAACCACCTCCATGCCTGAGCGCAGATCAGGACCTCGAACTCCCAAAACTAGCTGAGGAGCGGCACAGCTTATAATTTGCCCATCTCTGTATTCAAACTGCTGGTGGCAAAGCTTCTGCAATTTACTCTGCTTTGGAGAATGGCTGAGATAAAGAGAATCCCATTAGAGGCCAAAAAGCATCCTGTGCCCTCAATGTGATGGAGACTGCGAGTTCTGTTGGTGAGAGACCTGCTGTGACCCAAATTCACTGATAATGGGGAGGCATTATCATGGGGACGGCACCACTGCTATCTGCCTTGCCTTGCCCTGCCAAGCGGATGTGAAGAGTAGAATTCGGAGTTTATTCTGTAACTGGAATAAATGTCCATCCAAGAGAATATGAGAAACTCATCAGCATAGCAAAAAGAAATTGAGTTGAAGAGATAATTTAGTTAAAGAGGAAAAGGATTAGGAGAAGGAGAGGGCCCTGTAGAAATGGAAGAGGGAGAAGCAAAGGTGTTCAAACCATGGTTGTTTCTAGCCTCTATCTACAGTCTGCCTGGCAAAGAGAATGCCACTCTCCAAATTTTTCAATCCTTCCTAACAACTCATAGAATATCATAAAAAAGAATGATACGCTAATAAGTTCATTCAAAAGAATCTCTTGCTTAAGGAGCTTAAGGCAATAAGCAGACTTATGAAATATATGAAATATCACAATGCATTGTCAATTAAGTTATAAACATCTACGAAGCCCCTAGTATGTGCATGGGCAATGTTAACTGTTGAAATGCCAAAGCTGTTTGATTTATACAAAATGCTATAATGTTAAGCAAGTGTCTAAAGTTTATGGAATAATACAAAGTACTATAAATTCCTGTTATTTCATTGGACATTGACCAGAAAAAAAATAAAATTAAAAAGGAAGAAACTACATTTTACTAATTTCTTAAAGACATCAGGGCATCTTACATGCTTATTCTTAAATTCATTCACACATTCATTCAACAAATACATAGGCTTTATGTTAAGTTATCAGGAGGCAAAGGTGGATGAGCTTACTGCTTAATAGAAAAGACACACCAGTGAACAAGAAATTACATTACATGGCACAAAATAAGCTAAAGGGAGCAGGGCCTCCCCACAAATACTTGTAAATACTTAGTCAAAAACACAAGAAAGACACAAATGTTTATGTTAACGTAAATGGCGGCTAACAGTAATGCAAACCCTCAGGAATCATTTTGCCTCGAAGTAAGCAAATCTAAGACCATGCAGAAATCTCTAACAAGAATTCCTTGCAACTTTTTACCTGTATTTCTTCTGTGGTTCCACATTTTCAAAGAGTTCTTCTTCCATTTTCTTTGGAAGACTGGCATCCTCATCAAAGTCATGAGGAGTTTCCTGCCAGGCATACCTGAGAAGTGTGTGACAAGCTTCCATTCGGAGATGGGCTCTTGCATGTGAATCTCTATTAAGGTTCAGAAGCAAACACAAGTCTAAAAATTCTGATTTTTACTCACAGAATTTTCTCTGAGGTATAGTCTGATCATATCCTGAAGGATATTGATGGATCTGTAAATCGCATTTCCATCATGGTGCCTAACATTGCCAATCCACCTCCTACTAATACATAATTTAGATCTTTTAATACAAGCCTACAAATAAAATTCCCCAATTACATAATAAACAGCATTCATCTTTACTATATTTATTCAGGAAAAAATGGGGCCATGTATTATATCTCAAAAACTCCAAGATTGGGGTGCCTGGGTGGCTCAGTCGTTTAAGCGTCAGACTTTTTATTTCAGGTCAGGTCATGATCTCAGGGTTGTGAAATCAAGCCCTGCATTGTGCTCTGCCCATGCTCGGCATGGAGCCTGCTTAAGATTCTCTCTCTCCCTCTCCCTCTGCCCTACCCCCCCTCTAAAAAAAAAAAAAAAAAAACTGTAAGATTAACACTACTTGGTAGTTTAAGAAATTCATAATGAATGTGTAATGAGATTCCTTCTGCCTACTTCATAAGTGGGTCATAATTCTGTCTGGAACAGGACATCCTAGATTACTGCATTTCATAAAGTTTACTCATTAGACAATGTTAAGAAATCTTAATTAACTTAATTTTCCTCTCAAATCTAGAGAGGCTCAAATAGCATCGGCACAGAAGTGCCAGATTTTGATAGAGAATAATGTACTAAAACACTTATATAGTCATAGCTTGAATAATTGAGTCAGTCAGCCTTCTGGCTTCTTATTAAGATGAAGATGTGAACAGGAGCATAACCACCATGCAGATCTATACATGTCACGTTCCGGAGCACTGCTGAAGGTACATTTGCTTCCACGGGATGGATCACAACACAATATGAAGACTGCTCTGCTCAAGGCAGGATAAATACACAGGCAAAGCAGTGAGCATATTCCAGAACTCTAAATATGCGTATGCTTTATTTAAGCTGACGGGGAGTAGGTAGGCTGTGATTGCCAAGGTACTCGTGGTATTTGATATAACTGGAAGCAACATCAAATTACCAAAATCTTCGGGGTCAATTCCTGTGTTGGCACAGCAGACCACACACTTTTCAAATGTAACACAAGTATTATACGTGGATATGAAATTGGAGGGTAACCACTGCCTCATTCGAAATTGCGCACAAGCGGCTTCTCAAGTCAAAATTCTTCCCAGCAGTTAAAAAAACAACAGTGCCATCTAGTGTTAAAAATAAAACACACAGCTTTCCCGCCACCTCTATTTCTTTGAGGAAAACAGAAAACAGAAAGGTCATTTTTAGTTATAACATATTCAGCAAGGTGTAAACAAGATTCTTCCCCCAAGTCCAGATGTTTAATTTTCTAACTTGGAATTTTCTGTATTCTCTTTGGCTTCCAGGCAAATTAAGTATAGTCTAGCCACTTTAGAACAGCCCTTTTTAAATATACCTTGCATTATTAATTCATTCATTTGTCCATTTACTCATATAACTAATCATTCCATAATTAATCACTCATTCCTTTGACTGATATTTCTTGAATATCTGCTACATGATCGGCACTGAGTTCTAAGCGTTGGGGATACAGTGATGAACAAAACAGGTAAGTTCTCAGGGTTCATGGAGCTTTCTAGTGGGCAGAAGAGAGATAACAGACAAGTCAATGAATAAATAATAATATAAGTGCCATAAATGGAATAAAACAAGATATTGTCATAGAAACTACCCAGGGTGGGGTGGGATCTACTTAAGCAATGGAGTCAGAGAAGGCTCCTCTGAAAGATAATGTTTGAGTTGAGACCCAGAAAATGGGAAGGAGCCAGCCATGTGAGGTTTGAGAGAGAGAACATTCTGGGCAAAGACAATAAATGGAAAGGTTCTGAGCAAGAATATCCTTGGTTCATTTGAGGAACAGAAAGACACTGATGTAACACGTGAGTGAGACACGTAGTACGTGAAGAGGCTTAAGAAGTGGGCAGGGCCTGCCTGTAATTCAGTAAAGAAATGGGAAAGTTCTCCCTGAGCTCCATGCTAAAAAAAGCCTTTTCTTTCACAAAGCAGCAAAGCTGAAGTGAGTGCTCCCAGAGTTTCTTTTCCATTTTGCTTATTCTTATTACCAGAAATCTTTGCACAAAACCCAACTATCAAAAGGGTTCCTTCTAGATCTAAGTTTACCCTCCTGCTTTATGGATATCCCTCCTTAAATCATCCCAGTTTTCAAATATGTAAAACTTCCAAACAAACATATCTGAGAAATTCTGGGGAAATCTTAAAGTGACTCTCTAATATAAGATGATTTAGGATTGAGTCATCAGAAGTGGTTCAGAGAACTAGTGAAAGTTAGCCTGGAAAAGAGATAACCCAGTAGCCTGATGATGATGAACTTTGCATATTTTAAGGACTTTTAAGTAGAAGATGAATGGATATAAACAGAAACAAATGAAACCGTAGGATGGAGATGTTCTAAATAATTTCGACATTAGAATGGGCTGACTTGCGAAATAGTAATCTCCCTGTTACTACGAGTATTCAACAAAAGATGGGATCAAAAGAGCCTGCCTGGAATGTGCAGGAGATTCCTGCCTTATGTTTTGAGTGGACTCACAACTCCAACTCAACAACTCAACAACCCCAGGCCTTGATGAAATCTATAAATCAGAACAATGTGGATCTTTGCACTCTCCAAGATGTTCTTTCTTTTTTTCTCACTTTCTATTTACTTTCTTCCCATGTGCAGTCTAATAACTCAGAGGCCAGATGATACATTCTTCAGAAATTCTCTAGCCATTGAGGAATATACCATGTAGGCCAAATCATTTCTCTCTGAAAAAGGCCTTCTGGTGCCTTGTGAGTGTCAGGACATGAGACCAGATGAATCACTCATCAAAATGAGGGGCTTTGTTTCCTAAAGTAAGAGTTGATAGAGGATAGAAGCAGTCTTTTAAAGTGGTTCGTAAAATAGTTTCAAATGACGTGTAAATTAATTTTCACTGTTATTACATGGGTAGTTGACTAGCTATATATGGTTTTAGAATTTGGAAACTCACCCAATCATTCCTTCATTTATTCAGTGTAGGATGACTAAATTCAGCTACCCTGGTCTTCACAGAACGTGCATGACAAGGGCTTTTGCCTTCAAGGAATTCCTAGGT